TCTAGAATGTTCTTATAGAGAGCAAAATAGAACGGCAGAGCAAATTTTTAGTCAAGTTTTATGAAAATGTGAAAAAATAAAGAATAGAACAGTGTATGTGAAGAAGCAGAAATAAATAATAACAGAGGTTTTCTCTTTTCTTGGCAAAATTTATGTGACAGCCTTTGAAAACCTTGGCTATACAAGTTCAAAATTTTTTTCTACACTTAAATAAATATTATTATACATCATTCGATGCATTTTTTCACGCTGATTCTTAATATGTATATTTTATATAGAAAAACATGATCTTAGGATGCAGAAAGCTTGTTTTATCCTCAAAAACCAAGTGGTTTGGAAAAATCTGTCTAGGCTCCAGTTAAAGTTAGACGACTAAAGGCTAATACCATAAATGCATGAGATTACGGAGCTCATTTTGATAAAAGATGAAGATTCTATGAGCTTGGAAAACTCTTTGTACTAAGCAAACCTTTTGGGAGAAACGCTTTTTCAGAAAACCGTTTAAATTATTTTAGCTCAAATGCTAAAGGAAAATTTTTTTTATAGCAGTAGATAGTCAAATTCTGCTGATTCCGAATATGTCCTTAGATAGAGATTAAAACTAAATCTACGCTAAGAAAAATGACTTTTTTCAAATAGTTAGCAAATTATAGAGAGAATTTTTCATCTAACTTTTTCCCACGAAGAAACGACTTCAGACAAAAATTTTTTTGCCGTTAGATACCCCATTAGTCGAAGTATATAAGACGATCTTCAAATCAAGAAAAAGTAACCTTCGCCTTATTGACCAAATTTCTGCCTGGATGCCCACAGTGCACGTTTATTCTTCTTCGACTAACTTCAATATTGGACAATTTTTCCCGAGAATGAACAGTAACGCATAAATCCTTCTTCTTACCTAATATCTTCTTAATTTTGTCTTCAATTGCATCCGGCGAAAGTTCTCTTGCAAATATTGCTGATTTCACTGTGATCTAATTGAATATTTGAACCTGATATAGTTTTTCAAGCTCTTTCAAATGGTAACGTCAATTTTCCCCCAAAACTTCGTCATTCTTCCCTTAATCGTTTTTACGGCGAAATTTTCTGTTTTATACCCTGAAAGGTATATTCATTTTTTTCTCTATCCTGATCGGAATATAGGCGGTGTCCTCTTACCAGCTAGAGAGACTGGTAAGAAACACGTAAAAACGATAAGGTTGCGCGTGTATTACTCGGAAACTATTAGGAGGAATTCCTCGAAAAAACCATTAGTAGCAAGTAAAAACGTGAGTCTTAAAAAAGCAATTATCAGAGTACATCGAAATAGTGTTTTCATTTCTTTCCCATCTTTCATTAACTCATGTATTGCTGTACACAGAGCTAAAACAAACAGAACGGAAAAGAGCGAAGACAAAGCTTTCAACATGATACGTTTGTTTTGTTTTCGCGATTTTTCTCTTCTCTCCATATAACGTTTTCCATTCTGTTTGTTTTTTTCTTACATACTAGGGCTGATACATTCCCGTTACTTTTCACGTTACCTTCCTGTTCCTCTCGAAAGGAACTAAAATTCGTTACCTGGAACCAGTAACGGAAATCTAAGGAATATCTAATATAATAATTGGACAGCATTATAAGTGAATGATAAAAGGCTCGAAATATGTCGATATTGTACGATGTGGCATGTACAGGGAGAGCCACAATCAGCACGAAACCGCCCAGCGTCAAATGTCGCCAGACCCAATGGATACTGGCAACATCTGGCGTTATCCGTTCGCTTATAATACTATCTAGTTATTATTTGAGGTATTCCTTGGATTGCCGTTACCCGTTACAGTAACGATAAAGGAAAAGTGTCACCTCTACTACGTACAGTAATATATGCGTCGTATATAAACGATGGGAGCGAACGAAAGATGGGAAAAAAATGAAAGCATCATTTCAATGCGCTCTAATAGAGCATATGACACTTTTTATTCACTATAGATGCTCTTTTTCTTCTGCTTTCCTATCACATTAAACATAACTGCCGTTTACAAATCCTAACATCTTCGAGCAAGTGCCCTGTTGTCGGTATATTCTATCTGTCATGGATTACAGAAAAAAGTTTTCACATTTCTAACAAGCTTTTTATAAATGTACTTCAATAATTCTTGCACTGCCAGAAGATGATCCATAAAATACCTACAATAGTATTTTGCTGTTTTGCGGATAAACAACAGTTAGACAGTCTACTCTTTTGTATATCCGTAAGCTAACATCAAGCGAATTAACTCTTATCGGTCACAAAAATCTAAGACGCTTGATAACTAAAAGTATTTTTGACATTAAACGATTTTTTCTGCAATATAGTCTTTTCCACGCTTATTACAGTACTAAATAATCAAATAGTGTTTCACATGAGAAAATGACAAGGGTCCATCTTCTCTTCTACTGTGAAGTGTAATGAAAGGGATGAAGTGATATATGATTTCATTCAAGCAACCGTTCAACAACGGTAAAAGAAAATTGATTATCTCCTGACCGTATGTTGCTCTATATTTTTTAGATGAAAAGAGTCATAATATGTAATTATTGTTTTTGTTGAAATTAAACAATTAACGCTGATGAACACCTACATGCTTCAATAATCATGTGTGGCAGAAAAAGTTGAACAACAGATTTCTTTTCCGTTGCAAAAAATAATTCTAAGCCGCCTGTTCTTGAAAATGAACAACATCTGTCATTAACACCACTATGTTGTTCTTTTATTGATGATAAATTATGTTGTGATGAATTTGTTATTTTTAACTGGTTCACTGATGAAAAACCACATAGACCAACGCATTCGCCAATGTCTAATACACGTGGATACAAAATGAAATTTAATAAATGTGAGTCATTGAAATGTAATGTTAATGGACGTCTACAACATGGACTTGATGGTAAACATTTATTTCTTGATAATACGTGGTGTGACCGATATTGGTTAGTCTCAGTTTCGTTTTGTTGTGAAAACCTATGTTGATATGATAATTTCATTATCTTTGCTTTGAAAATACTATCAACCGAAAAAGCAGATATATTCGATGGTTTTTCCATGCGTAAAAGTCTAAATAATACATTTATAAATGATTCTAATTGATTTCTCGATGCATGTAAACTTGTATCGTTTGGATAATTTATTCCTTCTGGTATCACATTAAATTCATTAGCTTTTTTTTCAGACGTTTGCTGTACTCTGTTGTAATTATGTTTCTGTTTCTTACGTTGAACTATCCGTTTAGTTGTTATTAAAAACTGATTTCGCGATCGCGAGCCAATTGTTTTATTTTGCTGAAATAATTGTACTTCGTTATGATCGACACGTGGATGAGTTTGTTTACTTGATGAATCAGAATTCGATTGTTGCTGTTCTGTTGTTTGAACGTTAAAGATAAGAAATGATAATAGTAGTAATAAATGAATAATCATAAGACTGCCTTTAGATTTAATAGTGACAATATTATTACGCCACAATACTATTGAACAAATTTGCATTTGTCGTTTTTCGACGTATAAAAAATATGTACAAGAAATAATTAATTATGATTCTATACTCTAAAAGAAAACAACATACAACTATATTGAGATATATTAACCTGAAGCTTGTTGTTAAAAATCTATTTATAATCGGTAATTATAAGTACAATATCGATGAAACTGTTGAAGATAACTGACCGTGTCAAGTATGGTGATAAACTTTTATTATTGATTTCATCTATGTTCTTTCGCAAGACTGAAGCAACTACGAAGAGAGAAATGAAGCTGTTCTTATTCAGAGAAAATCTCTGTCCAGACATCAGAATTTGGAGGTTCTCAACTGAAACTGGCACAAACTCCCGGTACAAAGTACAAGAGTGCACTGTTTGGCATTTTCGCTTAAGCTTTGGAAGATATCAGGAGTGGAAAATCCCGTTGGTGTTTTTGGTTACACACAGTTGTGCTACATCTCGTTTGAACAAAAAAAGCTTGTTCTATAAATCTACGCGTTCAGAAAATAATTTAATTGCATAAGTGTCAAGGAATAGTATTTGAAGATAGTGTTTTTCGAAATACCTAGAAAGTTTTTTTCCAAAGCCACGAAAAATCAGCTCTTCGACAGAAAGGAACGCAGATTCTAAAAGATATATTCCGGCCTATTTAACCATGTACTTATCTCAAAATCGATATTACTGAGGAAATTTGTCAGTCTTATAAGGGATGGAGACTTAGATTAAAACAGGCTCCTCGTAGAACGCTTTTAATACTAGTTTTGATTGGCATGCAAGGTAGAGGTACACTACCCCTGTTCAACATCTTGAGTAATACTGACATACTTGGCTCAAAATATAAGCGAGTCCGACGGCATATCATGCCTATTCAATTAAGAAAAAGCATTAGCATCAACTGCGTCACGCCGGATGTGGAAAACTTTTCTCGGAATTTAACTGCTTAATAAAGAAAAATATTCTAGGTTGCACTTGCTGCTCTTGTCCTGATATAATGATACTTTCTGACAATATTTATTCATCATAAACGTCTTATGTCATGTGGGGTCTTCTTAACCCATGGGCAACGCGTAGAATCGATACTTAATTTCAAATATATCCAACCTCGATATGTAAAGCGTACTAGTACCGAAAACTGTGACACTTTTGGTACCATAGTGGTACCAGTGCCAGAACTGTGATAGTATCCATAATTTGGTAACTATCAACGGTAATAATTGCTTCTTTTACATTCTTTTACTACTAGTGCAGTTAGCAGTATACACAAACTTAGTTCCTGTATTGTACTATATACATCTTACTATCATGAAAAACAAAAGGGAATGCCTTAGAATGAGTAAGTATACATTCTGTATACACATACAAATACATATTAGAAAAAGAAAATCTTCTCTTGTTGGACTTTACCGTGTATTGTTACAATCAAAAGCACTGGTGAAAAGAAGGAAACGGATGAAAAGAAAAAGTCGACAAGAAAAAAGTGTCGTATTTACATCGTACTTTCACACCAAAAAACATGGGTATAACTTTTCTTTCTTATAGAACAACAACAAGAAAACAATCTGATTATACCATCCTAACACTAAACCACCAAAACCCCAAACTAGACATGTGCAAATACGTATTCTCGGTGTCTGAAAAGAACACTCTGCACCATTTTCTGAATAAAATTTGATAAAACTGAGATGTAACTCTGCGGCTTTCTGCCATTTGATAGGCGACTCTCTTTACAAACAAAAATATTTTTATGGACTTCATATGTATCATGGGTTCATCCTCAATATCAACGTAACATAATCTTGGATCAGGGTTCATTTGAGTGATAAGACTGCCGCGGTTGGTTGAGGAGTGGTACTAATCATAACAATAATAATACTTTCTTTAAAACTTACATAAATAGATAAAATACATCTTTCATTTAAGAGTTTCCAGAACAATTATATGCTAATTTGTACACCAAAATATGCTATTAAAATGAGCTTCAAATTCTAGAAAACAAAAAAAATTCAACAAGTAACACTGAAGATAAAATACATACTATGTACCAACTACACACTCGAAGAAAATTACTGAATTCTTTGAGAACTATGAACAGTTTATTTTGGCAAATATCACTATAATGATGATTTTAAATATAAATAAATACAGGATTGGCAAAAATGTTTTTCCAGGGAGGTAGAGCTCAAACTACAAATGATATGAAAATGAAGTATATCGCAAATTAATGCTCATCTAAAATGGGATTGATGAGTATAATTGATATTTCGTATGATGATTATGGGCTGTAGAATTATGAAAGTTTCCATCAGGTGCATCATAATGAATGAGACTCTTAGTATTTTATATTTTTCTCGTGTTCCTTTATAATCCTAAGATTATTGGGCTTTTTAAAGATGCGCCACGCAACACTCTACAAAACCATACGTAAGCTTTAATGGGGGGGCCCCCCCACCCGTTTTTTCCCAGCAGTTTGTGGAGGACACTTCGAAGTATACGTCTCAACAAAGCTTTCAGTTCCCGGACTTATAGTTTTTGATAAAAAAAATTTTTAATTTTTTTTCGGGTTTTTTGCCCTATTTTTAAAATTTCAATAAAAACTTCATGTTTTGACATGAAGAGTTGATTCTAGCGTAGTTCGATAGAGAACATTAATTTGTATAAGGAGAAAAACTTT